CTTCCTATCGGGCTCCTAGGGCCATGGCCCATGGCTGGTCCTAGGTAAGGCAGGTCGACTGTCGAGGCGGACGGGACTGCTCTCGCTCTCTTCTCTTGGCTCACTTTCTTAAAGGACGCTTCCTCCCACATGAATTGTGGTTAACTTTCTTCTCTCTTTTCTAGATCATCCGGAAGACGAAGACTCAATCCATTGCGCTTTCCTCCTAATCACTGACCATCCCTTGTCCTTGGTCACTTATAAACTTTCCAATCACTGCTCACCATCGCACTTGACACACGAGCACACATATTCACATCGGCTCTTTATCAGCCCTCTCATAAGCCACAAACATTTTCCTCCCACGCAACCAAGGATAACACCTCAACCACCATCTCCATCGAACTTGCTCAAGTTTCAATAAACAAATCATACTCGAGACCATTGGCTACAAGCACAATGGCTCCCGATCTCAACTCACTTCCCTCTTCGCCTCTGGCGCAACCCGCCAATGGCAAGTCTGCCAACGGCAACGGCAATGGCGCACCGAACGCGAAGCAACCCAATATCCTCTTCATCATGGCCGATCAATTGGCCGCACCCCAGCTCAAGATGTACAACCCCGAGTCACAGATCAAGACACCAAACCTGGATGCTCTTGCCGCTGAGTCTGTTCAGTTCGACTCTGCCTACTGCCCCTCCCCGTTGTGCGCACCATCGCGCATGAGTTTGATCACCGGTCTTTTGCCCATGAAGATTGGTGCTTACGACAACGCCAGCCAGATCTCCAGTGAGATTCCCACCTACGCACACTACCTGCGTCTGAAGGGCTACCAGACTGCGCTGGCAGGCAAAATGCATTTCATCGGGGATCAGCTTCACGGCTATGAGACTCGCTTGACTAGCGACATTTACCCCGGTGACTTTGGCTGGGTCGTCAACTGGGACGAGCCAGACACCCGTCTTGAGTGGTACCACAACTCCAGCTCCATCCTCCAAGCCGGCACTTGCGTGCGGAGCAACCAGCTGGATTACGACGAGGAGGTCATGTTCCGCTCCACTCAGTTCCTCTACGACCACGTCCGTGAGGGTCCCGAGAAGCGCCCTTTCGCTCTCACCGTGTCTTTGACTCACCCTCATGACCCCTACACGATTGAGGACAAGTACTGGGATCTCTATGAGGACGTCGATATTGCTCTTCCCAAGGTTCGCATTCCCAAAGAAGAACAGGATCCCCACAGCAAGCGTCTCATGAAGGTCTGCGATCTTTGGGACTATGATTTCACCGACGACCAGATTAAGCGGGCTCGCCGCGCATACTACGGCGCTGTCAGCTACGTTGATGACTGTGTCGGAAGACTCTTGTCCGTTCTCAAGAAGTGCGGTCTGGATGACAATACCATCATCGTCTTCAGCGGCGACCATGGCGACATGCTCGGCGAGCGTGGACTGTGGTACAAGATGAGCTACTTTGAGTCTTCCGTCAGAGTGCCGCTGTTTGTCCGCCACCCCAAGGACTTTGAGCCCCATCGTGTGGACAAAAACGTTTCTACCCTCGACATTCTCCCGACGCTGTGCGATTTGGTCGGCACGAAGCCTGCTCCTGGTCTACCCATGGATGGTGTTTCATTGCTGCCCCATCTTCAGGGCAAGACTGGCCACGACAAGGTCTACGCCGAGTACACCGGCGAGGGCACTGTCAGTCCGCTCATGATGATCCGAGAGGGCCCTTGGAAGTACATCCACTGCCCTGCAGACGGCACCCAGTTGTTCAACCTCAAACACGATCCGCTCGAGCTGGTCAACCTGGCGTCATCCAAGGCCATTGCCGGCAAGCTGCTGGACGAGGAAGCCAAGGCAAAGCTTGACGAGTACAACGCCGAGACAAAGGCCAAGTGGGACTTTGATGCCATCACCGAGCAGGTCTTGCAGTCTCAGCGCAAGCGTCGCCTTGTGTGGGGCGCTCTTACCCAGGGCCAGTTCACTAGCTGGGACTACGACCCCGTTGATGACGGTAGAATGAAGTAAGTTGTGATCCCGGCATAATGAACCTCCAGACTCAATACTAACATCTCTCAGGTACATCCGCTCGCAGATTCCTCTGGACGACCTCGAGCGTCGCGCTCGATACCCGCCCGTGGACAAGTACGGTCGGGAGGTTGACCGCGCCACAACTGGTCACAGGGTTCTTCACGACCAAGCTGGATCTCACGGCCAGTAAATCTTTTGCATATTTATGATGATAAAGACACCAAAATGCATGTCACAGGGGCGTTGGGGCATATCATTTGATTTACAGCACGCGATATCTTTTCTCTTCTTTCTCGCAGATATCCGCAAGGCGATCAGGCGCATGGTCATGATCTTCAGGACAGACCAGACGCCCTTTGTATTTTAGCTTTCAATGGGGCTTAGGACATGAATGCCCAAGAATTAGCACATAAGCAAGTTACCAGTTGCAATGAAGGTCCTGTCTCATTGGAACGTGACACTAAACCTCTTGAGGATTACTCAGAGACCTTTTTAAGCAGCTCGCTCGTCGTCACGAAATCCCGACTGCCTCATTTGACGTGCTACTCCCATTACGCCGTGCTCATTTAATGGGACCGCCTTGGCTTTTCTAACAAGCTGAGTGCTTTGCCACGTCGGTAGCTGTATTTGAATATCGAATATCTTATGTCAAGCATGCAAACCCGAAGCCAATTGAGTGTGGTCGTTTCCCCGTGACCTGGAAGAGCCTCGAACGAGTCTGAGGGTGAATGGTCGTCTGGTCTCCCTTGTATGCTTACATACCTACCTTCTACCTTGCTAACTTGGGAAAACCGAGAGGAATTCCATCCCGCGTGGCCCCTGCTCCCGGCCCTGCATCGCTTTTTCAGCTGGGGGTTGCGCCGGGCCAGCGGGGTACGCGAGGTACGTGCTGACGCCGCGATCGCTGCCCACACCCCCGTTCGACGCGGAGCTCCTGGACCCATTTAAATTACCCCCGGGCCGAGTGGATTGGAACGTCACTCGTACCTTTTCTCCCCTCCTCAACCTGGATAGAGGGAGCTCAATTTCCGGTAAACTCTCAACAAAACCACCCCCACGCTCTCTACTCCCGACGACGTCGAAGATTCAATTGCGCAGTCGCATCGCCTCACGACACAACTCATCCAACACCTTTTCCCCTTCTGCGACTCGCTAAACACTCAACATTCCCCGGCGCGTCGAGTCGCGTGAGCCGTGCGACTTCCATCACCCGCTACGATCCCCAAAGAACCTCTACTTTTCTCCGATCTGCGACGAGCCGCACGAAGACGAAACAACGCACAAAAAAAAAGACCACGGGCAATGGACAAGCCGAACGCGCTCGGCATCACGGCCGATGAATTCAAGGCAATTGAGCAGACGCGCCAGCGTCTGTTCCAACTCTCCAACAGCATCCAGGGTCTGCGGATGGACGTCTTGAAAAGCAACCCCCTTCCCCCCCCCTAAGCTTTTCCCCCCCCCCCCCCCCCCCCCCCCCCTCCTTCCTCGTAGCTCCACATCCATCAAGACACACGATTCAAGAAAGAAGGAAAAAAAGATTTCTAGACGTGCTAACATTTTGCGCCACGACAAAAACAGAGCGTCCCTCCAAGCACAATCCCAAATCCTCCTCCGCAACCTCCAATCCCTCCTCGAGACCCTGACAGAAAACACCCACGTCTTCCAGCACCTCCACGTCTTCCCGGACGTCGCCTACCCGGGCCGCGTGCACGAGAACATCCTGCTGCAGCTGCTCCGCAAGAAGCTCGAGCCGGGCGTCGAGGAGTGGGTCGAGCGCGGGCGGGAGACGACGCGGGAGCTGCGTGGCGCGAACGTCGCTCCTCCTTCCTCGTCGGACGGCAGCAGTGTTGGCATTGGCGGCGGGCCCGGTATTGCTGGCGGACCTGTCGGTGCTGGCAACGGCGGCGGCGAGGCCCAGCTCGAGGCGGTGTGGCGCGACGTGCGCGCGTGGACCGTCGAGCGGGTGCAAAAGTACGTCCTCGAGGAGGCGGGGGACGTGTACACCGAGGACGAGCGGCGGATGGGGGTGGAGAATGTGAGGACTGGGCTAAGGAGGGGGCTCGAGGAGGATGACGAGGATGACGATGATGAGGACGAGGAGAGCGATGAGGAGGGCGGCGGTGGTGGTGATGGGGACGTGATCATGTCCGGGCAGTCGCAGAAGACGAAGAAACCGACAAAGCCAACGGGCCCGGAGCCGGAGATGCTCTTCTGGTTCGAGGCGAGGGGCGATTTCGACTTGCCGCGGAACGTGGACTTGCTGAGTCAGGCTGGTATGAAGCGCGGGCGGTAAAGTTGGGCAGGCGGCGAGAGAGAGTTTGGAGAGAAAGCGAGAGACGGAGAGAGTTCTCGGTGAAGAGGGGGGACTGATGATACCCGGCCGCGACGACGGCCTTCTTTGGAGTCCTTTTTCTTAAAAAGTTGTTGCCAACCTATCTACATAGAAGGTAGGGGGGAGCTTTCATAGTCTCACTTTGCGATGGAAAGTTCATTTACTACCTACGAAGAGGAAAAAGAAAAAAAGACTTGGGGCAGCAGTGATCAACAGGTAAATTCATAACTCCGCTCTGCGAGAATCAGTCATTCCCCGCCCCCCCCCCCCCCCGTTCGCGTCCTCCAGTTGTTGTTGTTGTTCGCTACCATCGCCAGCGACGCTTTGCCTGCACTTCCCGAGGCTTGGAGTCCTTGAGGAATGCGCTCCCCGCGTCTCTCAATGGGCTCTGGGAACTTTCTGGGGAAAAAGACCAAAAAAAAAAAGAAAAAGGAAACGGCTCAGCCAGCTAGATTGGGAGCTGGAAATGATTACTGATTAGGTACCGTAGACGCAGGTACGAGTCCTCCTCGAATGCTAGGTAGACTGCCCACCTCTGTTATTCTCTTTCATTATCAACTCAAGACGGCCTATGCTGGTGCTATCTAGTGCTGCATCGTCACTATCCTCTGGCTGCTCTGCATGATATCAGTCTCTACATTGCTACCAACGCAGGCCCTTAGCGGCGGAAGGGCCTAACATGACGATTAGATAGATAACCAGCTTTAATTGCGGTCCAGGAAGGCAATGGGGGAGTAGGTTTGTAGGTCTTCTTCTCGCGATCATACCACTTGACTCTCCAGTGATCCAGACTCCATGACTCCCGCTTCGCGACTGACTTGAGCCGCTGCACATCCATAATCTCGCCGGGATCAAAAGTGCAACGAACCATGGACGTCCCTTCGACGATTTCTCGCATTGCCAGCGGAAACTTGTCAAATAAATAAGACTCGTTGAAGGCGGACCAGATGGCGGCCACGTCATTTCTCTGGCTGTTTCTCCTCATCCCATACGGTTCTGGAGGAAGATCGCCGTTTTGGAAACATTCGTCCATCGCCTGCTGCCAAGCAGCGTCGCGCAGAACCACAGTCTGGAAGATCTCTGTACACTGCGGATCGCCCTCTCCGTCCAAGACTAATGTGAACGACTTGGCGGGCATGCCGGCGGGGATAAGTGGCAGGGTCTCAATGACCCAGCGCGCGACGGCGAAAGATATCTCGTTGGCCTCCAGTTGTCGATATTCTTTCGTCCGCCAACCAATTGCTTCTGATATACTTGAATGGTAGAAGAAGGCATTGTGCCACAAGCTGACGCGTCGCTCTATCCGCATGGCGGGATTCTCTTGACAAAAGGGGATTAACCCCATGGCGTGACACGCGGGGTTCGAGACAGACTCCCGGTCTTCGATCAGCACGATATCTCTCAGGTGCGCTCGGGTCTCTAGCGAATTGGACTCCAGAAACCGGATGGCAACAGCTGCTGCAGAATAACGATACATGGCACGTCGTGTAGCGGATTCAGAGCCCATCCAGCCGCCTAAGAAGCCAAACGATCTGAACGAGGACTTCCCGCCGAGCGCGTCCACCATTTGTCGGAGATCATATTGAGTTGGAATCATCCAAGGGGCCGGATCCAAGTCGACAAGAGGTCGGGTGCCATCTCTTTTGCAAAAGGCTTTTGCGAACTCGTCATTAAATCGATGCCGGTAATCTAAATTTGAGATCGTCTGCAGCGCAAAGCGCACAAAATCGCGGTGGACCGAGGGAGGTTCACCCCATGGGCCTTGCTTGGACGACCGGCCCTGTGTACTGTGCCATGTATCGTGCTTGATCATGTCGAGTACAGGTGTGAACTGTGGGAATGTTCCCGAGATCTCAGCGCAGATGTCGTCCCAGAGAAAAAGCTCTGCGTGATTGAGGTCCCTTTGTAGAGAATCGTGCAGCATCGTCATGACGACATCAAAGTCTCTAGCTCTGTGGCGTTCGTATGGCGAGTAAAAGGTTGAAACGGTGATGGTGTTCGCTTCCAGTGCAATGCCCCTCATTTCTTCGGCAATGCGTTTGCACGTGTACGTAAGGGCCAGGTCGATTGGTCTGCCCATGGCATTTCTGAGTCTGTTCGATTCGGGGTTTAGGACATAGCCTCCGTCGGACACGACGTAGAGCCGGTAAATCATGTCCCGTAGCTCGCGAGGAAGGTGAAAAAATGTAGCCATGGCGTGGTACTTTCTTTCAGTTACGTAGAAGTCGTGTGTATGTGACGATCGAAGATGCCGGGCGAATGATTTTGAGTCGTGGGGTTTGGGTGATGATGAGATGCAGCGGTTATTGAATGTGGTGTTGGACAACCACAGGCACAATGGAGAGACGTGGGAGGTATTTAAGCGTGCTAGCCTTGGGGTGAGGTGATTAAGGTTCTCAGGTGTCTAACACAACGGAGAAAGGCTGGTAACTAAGGTAGGTGGTACCTTGAGGTTCCTTACCTCACGTGCATCCGCCAAGGTACCTAAGGTAGGTATGTGGCTTCCATTGGAAAGATGGAAGGTTCGCCGGGTGTGGCCCTAGGATTTAGAGGAGCCACAGTGAGGCTGAAGTACCACGGTACTTTTTCCAACTCACTTTAGGTACCTTAAGGTACTTTAGGCAACCACGCTACCTGGAAGGATCCTCATTAAAGTACCTAAGGTAAACGCAGCCGAGAAATCTTCCCACACGCTCGGGCGCCTAACGCTGAGCAGCCCACAGCTTGAAAGACACCCAGCATAGCAATTGAGATGGCGAACAATAGATCACGGCAACAAGGGGAACCAAAATTAAGGGACAATTGTATTTTATGTGGTGGTTTTTTTTCCGGCTTTACAGGCACAAAAGATCGACCTTAACGGGATCACGCTTTCAAGGGAAATCACACGATACAGTACACTTTTTAACTACACAATACGCGCAATGTATCCCAAGCACGCGCTCAACGCAATATAGTGATTTCGATACGAAAACCGCCATTCAATTCGGGATGGGCAAGCTGCCCTCTTCGCTCAATCTCGTGTTAGCTCCATGTCTCTATTCTCTAGAAGATGAGGGAGGGGTACGCTGCTTGCTGACGACAGGCTGAGCGACATACTCACGCGGCGGCGCCGGCCGGAAAGGTCGACGGCAGAGGTCGGCCGTAATGGTTGGCCGCAATGGTCGGCCGCAATGGTCGGCCGCAATGGTCGGAGGCGGCCTTCTGGCACGATGGGTATTAGCAAAAGTTCATCTCAAAAATGGCTGTCATTGTGTAATGCATCCGTAGTAGGGAATTTACTCACCCTCAACCGCAGAGGTTCTGAACTTTGATGGCGACGTAGAGGTTTCCGGAGAAAGGGCCAAATGGGCCAATATCTGCTGCTCTTCTTCCTCTCATGTCAGTCGTTGTTTAGTGCATCACGAAACTTACATCGTACTTGCCGTACCAGAGCTCGCAAAGATTCTTTCCATCCTCATCGCTTCCAACATCGCCCAAAGCTGCTCTAAGGGTAGTTAGCGTCTACCACAGGGATAGAGTAGAAGCACTTATGACCAACCTCCATTCAAACCAAACAAATCCACCAAACAAATCCACCAAACAAATCCACCAAACAAATCCACCAAACAAACCCATCAATACACAAACCACCACCTGGACAGCTAGTCAGACAACCAGTCAAGAGG